AAAAAAAAAAAAAAAAAAAAAAAAAAAAAAAAAAAAAATGGGGCATGGATTTTTTTCTCAAGGCAGAAAGGAGTTGCTATGGCTGTCAGAAGGAAAGCATACCCAAGAATGTTTAAAACTAGCAAGTATGTCCAGCATAGCATTTAACAATTGCTCAAAGCAAATACGGCTTTTTGACTGTAGTTCTCTTTTGCTTTCCTTTTATTAGTATATGTTTGCAGTGCATAATGATTATATTCATTGTGGGGAGTTGGTATTTGTACCTAGTGTGTCTTTCTTTTTAGGCCTCTTCAGCAGTATTACTCGTAATGGTGTTGCTCTACAGAAAGGATGTTCTTAGCCAGAGGTGGCGTTGCTCCCTGGTTCAGTTGGTAATGTCTGGAGACGTGTGTGGTCATCATTACTTGGCCTAAGATACTATTGGCACCTAGCACGTAGAGGAACCAGAAATGCTGGTAAACATCGTAAACTGCACAAGAACAGTTTCTGGCAATGATAAAGTATCAGGTCCAGTTATCTGGAATTGAGAGACACTGCTTTATCAGGAATATCGACTGTTGAAAGTAATCTCTAACATTTGTCAAGCCCTTACTAGATGAAAGCCACTGCCCTGAGCATTTTGTACGTGCTGCCTCATTGAAGCTACACACTGAGAATATTGGCTGGGAGATATTATTCCCATCTCAAGACAAAACAAGAAAACGCATAAGGCACAAAGTAAATGGTGGGTTCAGAATTTTTTACTTTCCAAGTCTAGTTTCTAAGAGGATTTCCCTTCTCCTGGAGGTTAGCCTAATTCTCAGTTAGCTTCTGAGCTCTAAGGAAGAGCAAGCATACTTACATAACAGAGCTCTCTAAAACCATTCTGGATGGCACCACCACAATATTAACCCAAAACTGAAGTGGCCTCCAACTGTATGGGACGGTATCCATCAATAAATTACAGCCTTGCAAGGATATTGGTAATTTGAATATACCTCCGGGCTTTTTATTACTGTATAGATCTTCTTCAGTTGAGTTTAATGCTGGGATCTCCTATTTGTTCTTTTCTTTTGGGGTGGAGGCACAATACGTAGCTGAGATTGTCCATCTCTCCATCCAGCTATATGAACACCATAGGCCGCAGCTGTCTTATATGTGCTGACTCTGGCCTTCTCCCCA